TGTAAAAATATCTACACTGAGAACACTAGATGCCTTTTCTAAATCTGCAGAATTAAGGCAACAGAAGCTCAGATGCTTCCCCTCCTTTGAGCCTCCCTCACAAGCCTGAGCACCCTTTCCCAGACGTGACTTTCAAACACTACCCCAGGACTTTATGATGAGGGGAGCAGGACCTGATAGCACTTAATCCCAGGCGCAGTAGCCTCACACCATCCCACACAGTGGAGCTGGAGTGGAGCATGGCTGCCTTCCCCAGGAAGGCTTCTTCCTCTGCCAGCACTGGGACAAAACTTTGCAGTGCAGATTTACTTTAAAAACTTATCTTAAAATTGACCAATACAGAAAACACCAAGCTCAGCCCGAGGTGAGCGGGCTATGCAGCAGGGCCCTGCCAGGGGCCAGTACCAGTAGGTAGGCTGTACCAGTAGGGAGTACAAACAGGCTGAGTACCCAGCCCTCGTGCAGTCAGGGGTATAGATGGGCACATGGGCTACACGGCCTCACGGAGCTGGTTTGGATTTTTGGGAACTGGGGGAGCACTCTCACAAGCTGTCCTCCATCAGGCTGAAGTGAAAGGGCATTGAGGAGGGTGCTGGGCAGTCCCTGGACCGCTCCAGAGCAGACAAGCAAACCTCCAGGCCTTTGGGGTCTATCTGCCACCAGCATCTTCTCAGCAGGAAAAGGGGAGCAGCAGGACTTTTGCTTCCCTGAAATTCTTGTAGGATCCAGAGAGTGGCTCCATCGCCTCACAGGGCTGAGGGCTGTGGCTGGGAGAAGAGTACAAAACCCAGCTCTTTTGGCTTTACCTTTATAGAAATCTCCCAGAACTCTGGCTTTGAAAGGAGCAAGCTTCACCTCCCTGTGCAGATGGGCGTAAACCTGCCGGCGCAGGCAGCACTGGTGGTGCCTTGCCATAGGCAATGCTGCGAGACTCCTACTCCTCAGGCAGCGCCTTGACCTGCGGCAACCTTGCTGCATGCTTGTGAGGGATCTCTGCATGCTAGGGCATTTTGGACACCCGTCCGTTTGTCTGGGGAAGTAGACTGATTGATGGCTTTTCTTTTTTCAAGTGTAAAAGGAAGTAAAAACTTTATTTCTTTCTTCCTCAGAGATTATTTACGAGACGTTGTCTCAGATACTGCCAGCTGATATCCTTTGGCGTCACTACCACTCAATGCGCTGAAGATGCCTCAAGGTGTGTCAGTCGTGCTTCACATCGGCGTGCCTTGATGTATCTCTTTGGCTGGGATTGAAAGGTACAGTTTCTAAATCTCCCGGTGACCCATTTTGCATGGATCACTGATGTGCTAGAATGTAGCTGCTCCTTCTCATCGTGTTAATGCAAGTTTGCCCGTGTTCAAAGCAGCCTGTGCTCCACATGCCGCATGGAGCACACAGGGAGAGCTTGCATCTGAGTATCTGGGTGAAATGGGCACGGCTGCTCACCCACAAGTAACTTCCATAAGTTATGTGCTTTAGGTTCTTCCACTGCTGTATCATGGTTCTTTTACTTAAACTCTAAATTCTTCGGCTTGATAAACACAGGCAGGCAGCTGGATTACATCCTTCTGGGGCTTGCGGTCAGGACGCGCAGTGAATGCCCCCAGACTGTGGAGGCACCATCTCCTCCCCAGTCCCATGCCACCCCCCAGGCTAAGCTAGGCAGCAACGCTCAGCACTCAGTGCGTCAGCAGGAAAAGGACCAAAGCGCCTGTGGGGGAGCAGCTCAGCACCACCCATGGTCACAGGCTGCCTGCTGCAGTGCCCTTGAAGCCAGTCCTGGGGACGGCCCTAATGAATACTTCCAGCCCAACCCTGTGTCTCCCCATGCTGTGCCAGCTGCGTGCTGCCCTGTCTGCCTGTGTGCTGTGCTGGCCAGGAGGGCGGCGGGAAGGAAAACCCTTGGGGTTTTGCCTGGAGGCCCAGCTGTGATGGCAGATGGGATTCATGGGCAGCTCCAGCCCCAGGCATGCTCAGGCTGCCTGTGAGGGCAATGCAAAAGCAGTGCACCTGCCTGCAGGGTGCCCTGGCCTTCAGAGCCCTTTCAAGGCTGCCTGGCTAGGGCACAATATAAACCTGCCCCTGATTTAGTCCAGGAGCTGGTTCTGCTGGTGTGAGTCATTTAACCACACAAGCACCCCATGACTCTGACTCTCATTTCCACGTTGTGGCCTCCTTCTCCCACTCCACAGTGGAAACGATGGTCTGATCCTGTCCTGAAGCTGCATGGGCATGGACCACAGCAGAGAAATGTTAGGAAAACAAGGAAGCCTTCAAGGGGATTTCAGCTACATAGATGGCAGAATGAGTCTGGGTGAATGGGTCAGATCCTCCCCATCTTCTTTTGGCATGCACCCATTATCCTCTAATTTTATTTCATGGAAAAGTGGGTCTTGAAATTAATGCTGCGTTAAGAGGCATGTGGCAGCTCATACCATCACATGTTGTGTTCTTGCCAAGCTACAACTGTATATTTGTCATTGTTCATATTTTCAAACTCTCAGTAAGAAAAAAATATGTAACAGCTTTGCAGTGGCTCGGCTGGGGGCAGCTCACATCTCTCTGAGCCTCGTTTGCCAGGTTAAAGCAAACCAGGAATTCTAGACATGAAAAGTTTTTAATGAAAAATCAGACTGTGATGTAGCCACATGGTTCTGTCCTTTCCAGGGGGCACAACAGGCTCAGTTCCCTAAAACCATCCAGTAAGTCCAAATGAGCTGGGATTGCATCATGGGAGTGAGGGCTTAGGTGGGGACCTTGCTGCCTTTGCCCAAGTCTAGCCCTACTAGCATTTGTTTTTAACTTCACAGGGTTTTTCAACTGGGAAGTGAGGATACGGGCAGATGAACAAGTTAGTGCAGGGAAAACAGGGGGTGTGAAAGTTCAGCATCTCAGCTACTGCCAAGAAACTGCTCTTATGTATTCTTTAACCCCCTTATAAACACAAATTCACTTCCCTTCTCCCACAAGGGATGAGATATCTGACTTTTGCTCCAAGGTATTGCAGGGAAAGAGAGTGCACATGGGCACGTGTCACTAAAGAGCATGAGAGCTTCCCTGCTCGAAAGCCTTTGCCCCACAGTCACTTGCAGGCAGCAACCTGGCTTGACTGAAATTCTTCAGGTTTCAGCAACAGGAAATTGCAGATGAGAGAATGCGCTGTAAAGCTCACTTCCACAGTTTCAGTTGCAAGCTGTGAAAAGTAGCAGCTCCCCAAGCTCTCAGCTTTAACACTGCTATACATACTGTTTTTTCTAATAGCACTGAGATCAACGGAGGATCAGGGCCTTGTTGTAGCAGACAACTTTCCAATGACACTCAAGAAATCCCATTCCAACTGTGGCATGGTTTGCTCTTTAAGCATCCTAGCAAACCCTCAAGCACACTACAGTGTTCCAGCCACAAGAAAGAGGGTTAGGAAGGTGGCTTTATTTTAAGACATAATTTTGAGGTTTTTTTTTTCTGCAGCAGAGGTGCCCTGAAATGCTGCTCACAGCAATGATATCTGCTATTCAGGGGCCATGAGAGGACAAATTTCAGCCAGTACATTATTGCTTCTCTTCGGGGAGTCCCAGGGACTATTCTCAAACAGGTTTGCTTTGCAGTGCTGTGGGCTTTGTAAACTACCATTTAGGCATTTAGAGAACTTAACACCACTCTGGTTTTAATTCAGACAGTGTGTGGTAGTACAAAGATAGGTCAAGATGGTTGAATGAACTCCCTGCAGCAATAGAGCCTGAAAAGTGTTCCCCCTCAAAGCAGCCAGGAGAGGGGTGGGCACATGGCTGGCAGGACCAAGGTTGGCTGATTTCTGCCCCATGGTGAAGCAGGGAACCTTCCTGCTCTCTGCGGACAATAGGCCCTGTCCTGGGTTTCAATATGGGGCTCTCTATCTTGATCCAGTTTGGATGGGTCAAGACATGTTGAGACATGCCCTTTCAATATGCTGCATTTTATTAAAAACAAAGTAGCTGGTGGCCAGATTGTAAAACTAGGTGGGCCTCATTTGTCTGTCCCTACTGTAAGCCAATGAAACCTTCAACATATCCAAACTCCCACCTTTTTACCCATTTGAATGAAAAAACATCACTAATAAAAGAAAATGACTCACCTAATGCTAAACCTGAGCTCTGTAGATCAGCTTTGATCAAATTCACTGACATTTAGATAACTGCATTATTATAACTAAAACATCTTTTAAAGGTTTTTTTTTCCAGACGCTCATTCTTTAAACTTTGCTTTGATCACTGTGCATATCCTTTTCAGCAGAAATTTGTCCACAGAGGGTGAATTTTTTTCATTTGTTTTTCATATGGATTCTCTTTCCTTTGTTCATATTTTAAATCAGTGAAGCTACCCTTCAAGCTAACCCTTGTAATAAAAATGCAGCTACTGTGTGGCTTTTAACAACTCATTTAACCCATCTGCGTCTCAGCATTCTTGTTAGCAACCCAAGGAAACTAACACTTATTTATGTAATGAGGCTGATCATGAGGCTTAATTAGATATTTTTTTGGTTGGCTAAAGTAAACATTTCAGAAGGGCAGAGCAAGGAAGTGGTAGGCTCTGTTACAATGGTCAAACACCACCAATTTGTAATGTTGCAACAGTAGTGTTACAAAATGCTATGTATAAGAATATTTCTTTCAGAAAGTACTTTTGAATTAGTTCAAGTGCTCCAGTTTCCAAATAAGAGTCACAATCCAAGATAATTAAAATAAATGGAAGCAGGAATGTGTCAGGGCAATTCCAAATGAAAAGATTGAAGTCACTGGAGTTAGGAGGGCAAAAATTAGCCAGTATATAAATATGTGTCTGCATATGAAACTCAGCTTTAAATGATGAGGAGGGTAAAGTTTGACTTTTCTTTTTCTGTGGAAAAAAAAATCACACTTCATTGATGCAATAAAATTTAGTTAAGCATTAGAAAAAACACGTTTGTAACCAATTTTTCCCTTTCAAACAGGCAGGAAGGCTATTTAAGTTTTAATTTGCTAATTATCATTTATTGTAGTTTGACCATGCAGCTAGGGAAGGTAGACTCTGCTCATCCATTCCTGAAATGGGCGGCTGTCAGGCTCTAGAGTCAAGACAGTACTTATTAGTGGTTTTTTACAGCATGGGCAGAGTTCTTGTTATAGCTTGTAACAGAGGTGGATTAACAGCAAATAATCTTCAAGTCTAAAGCTGCAGCACCTCTTACCATATTCTAGAAATAAGTGAGTGTGTTCAAATAACCTTTGCTGGCGAGATTCTTCCCGTCTCATACCAAAGTGCAGTCTTTAAGACTCGTATGACTGCCTGCGCCGCCATTTTGCGAACACGTATGCATGTCGTCTGACAGCTCGAGCCCTTAAACTCTGTACTGCTTCTGTCACAAATAAAACCATTTATGAGCACACACATTTGCAAAGATCAGGCTCCGTGATCATCAGCTCCACGCCAAGTTTCTTGCGAATGGCTTGTTTTCCCAAAACACTTTAGGCTGAGGATCCCTATTATAAATCCCTAAGGATTTAGGATCCCTAATATAAATCTGCTTTAAACAGAAGATATTAATTTTTTAACGCAGACATTCTCTAATATTTTCATGATGTGGCTCATACCTTAATCGATAGCAGTTGCGATGCAGATCTAGCTGCGCAGCCCACAGTTGCACAACATATTTGCGGTAATAAGAACCCTCGCTGACATGGAAAATTAATATTAAGAAAATTAATGTAAGGAAAATCTGTAATGGGTTTTTGTCTGTGTCTAATGCAACTTAGCAGTTAGCAGAAGGAAGGAATTTAGTACCAGGTGAGTAGCCAACGCCTCAGAAAGCACGTTTCTTTGACCGCATTTTAAGACCTGCTGTTTTGACTTAGCGCATCAGAAAGAATATCTGCTTTGTAAACAACAGCATGAAACATCTCACTCAGGATTCTGCCTGGCAATCTCAGCTGTCAGAACCTTGCCCACAAAAAAACGACCCCTTGGAGCAAGCGCTTTTCATGTTGGTGCCTTTTCTGCCTGGGGAAGTGTTTTGAAAGCTCAGAAACTTCAGCAGGGCAGGAGAGCAGATACCTACCTACCTACCAGTGGCAGTGTGAAAAGAACTGTTATCTTTTCACTGCGGCATCTGTCAAGTCCTCTGGCAAAAGAGAAGTAGCAGTTATCCCAGTAAGAAAGGCTGCTCTGCTTATTAATTGCAGTTTCTAGGAGCGTAGTGTCATAGCAACACAGCAGCATGCAGACACTGTTCAGTACAACAGGGGAAGAAATCCTGGATGGGGACTGACCTTCTCTGCCTCCCACCCCAGCCTCTTGTACCTACTGCCCTCACAGCACACAACTGCCACTCCATCGGACAATGCTGATATTGGGATTGGCTTTTGTTCAAGGTGATCTGTAAAAGGCAGAGTGGATTAGATGTTAGAGTTTTTTGTCTGCTGCCTGGTTTTCTCTTGAATTGTGTATGAAGGAAGTCTTGCATGTTTTTCCCCTTTTTGCTGCTAGGAAAGTAGGTACTAAGCCGCTTTATTTCCTGGCAGCTGTGGATGTTAGAGATGATGGAAGCACAAGGTATTTCACATGCAGGAATCAAGCGGGCAAAGAATTCTTGGAAGAAAAGCCTTAATATTTTTTTTCCATTTTAGACAGCTTGAAACTGTTTAGCTTTGTTTAGCTCCTACCTAAATTCCTTGAAAACAATACTTAGCGAGAGGGAGGGATTTGTTGGTAAACTCTGTGTATTGCCTGCTATTTTTCAAGAACTGAGCACACTCCTAACAGCCTTCTGAGACCTCCCGAGAGACAACACTTGCAAGAGGAAAGGTTGTATCTGACGAATAAGAAACTTGTCTGTGTGTTCAAATGAAAAGAGCAGAAGATCCAGATCCCTTATCTCCTTTCTTGCATGCCAGATCACATTTAGCATCAGGCCCAGTCTTGCAGTTGCTGCTTTCAAGCAGGTCTCATTGAAACCAGCCATGGTTGCTGATCTGCTCTGGGTGCAGAATCAGGCCCTGCCTTCCCTTCATCCTTTCATTCCCATAGCCAAAGGAAGTGGAAAATGAAATTAAATCATTATCTGCACTTATTAAAAATGAAACAGATGCTAGAAGTCCTCTGACAGTGAAAAATAATAATTATTTTCTAAAACTTTTTTTTTTCTTTGAGAAAAACCTCTGCTGCTCATCCTTTCGTTACTGAGAGCGCATGTAGGCACAGAGGAAAAGACTTGTTTTATCATGGAACTGACTCTCCTGGAAATCCTGAAGGACACATTAAGAAATGTTGTGAAGATCTTTCAGGATTTGGATAGCCAGTTTTACCCAGATCAGAAATAATTTATTCGCCATAGCTAATTCAGAGTTATGAATTACTAATTAATTCATCATAACTAATCTTTAACACTAGCAATGTGTTAATACAGCATCATCACAAATATTGGTGGTAGCTTGATTATGTTGTTCAGAAAGAATATATTTATAAAACATAAACATTGGTGTCCATTATGTCCTGTCCGTGCCCATCTGATTTATTTTCATACCCAAACATTTATGATAATTTAGCAGCATGCAGATAATTAATTCATATACAAAGAGAAACAGAGTAATGCAAAACACTGTAATTTCCCCCCCCCCCCAACTGATACCATTAAAATCAGTTTTTAGTAGTTCTCCGTGGGTTTTTTATATAGAGTAAATAACACAGATTTTTTGATACATATATATTACCCCCCAAATATATGATGTTTTGTGATTAACATGGTTGCATTTGTCATCAGAAATAGCAAAACATGGACTTGATCCAACTTATTTGCAGTTTTCTGTAACATAAATGCAGTAAAGGAATATATAAATATTATACTCACCATACTACAGAAGAAAGTTTTCTCTCTAGATTTTAAATTCTATACTTATTTCCACTAGAAACCCCTATTTTATCTTGCTTTACCATATTCCTTTCTCATCAGAAAATTACTCTTTATATTCTCATAAAACATTTGGCAGACCCATAAAGATAAAAACATGCACAAAGAACAGATGACAAAAGTTTATATCAAACAATACATATCAAAGAGAAGAAACTCCCCTTTTGCTACCTCTACCTGTATATTTTAACATTAATCAAATCATTACTCTGTCGTTGCTAGCAGCCACGAATGGCTCGCATTCATTAATTTCTTCTCATTCAAAATGATTTTTATTAAATCCTTAACCATCATTATATCAAAATAATCTGCTAATAAACATTTTAAAAAGTTGATAAAGTAGAACTTTAAGTTTTTGTTAGGTGAACTCAAAATGAAAAAAAAAGAAAACGTCACAAGAGAGGAAAATATAAAATCTCAATTAATCTTAACCAGAAGTCCAAGTAACGACAATATCAAACAGACTTTGCAATACCTAATATTCCCTGAAAATGTTTAAAATCCACATGTGAATAGAAAATAACTTCTCGCTTGACTTTGCTGACCCACAATTGTCAGTGGAATAAAAAGTTCAGTAATTCCTAAAGGTAGCAAAGTGTGATTTGCTCTGATTTCAGCTGAAATTATCTATTTATCTATATCTGTCTTTTCTCTCTTTAAGAAAGCAGAGAGGATTTGTTCGTTCATGGTCTTTAAAAACACTGTCTTATTTTCATTAAGCTAAGCCCACTGCTGATGTAATTCTTGCATTACAAAGGTCTTAATTTAAACCATGACATAAATGCTTTTCATCAGTTGATTTTTGTTCTTTGTGCCAAATTTCTTGCATTTTTAAAATAAAGAATATGGTGTATAATAACTGCTGCGGGACAGGCTGCTTTATTCTTCAATATGAAAGACAAATGGGGTGTGACATGCATACGTTTCAACATGCAGCACTTACTTCTTTAGGACCTTTACTTTTTCCACTGTTTTCTCAGTAGACTATTTCACTTCCTTTGACTCGGGCCTAACGATAACACTGGATTTGAAGCACGCTTCTCGGCGTTGAGCACACTGACGGGACCCAGAGGTGAAAAGTGCTTCTAATCTCTCTCCTCTTCTCTCTCCCCCTTTGGCCCCCCTTCTCCCTCTCCCTGCCTTCATCTCCTTCCTTCCCCCCCCTCCATTCAAGGATTTGGGGTCTGCAGATGATAATTTACAGAACGTTTTGGAAGCAGGGTGGGGATGCATTCCTAACACCCCAAATCCTGGTTTGCATTACACATTAGGGATTTCAAAGCACACCAAGATTTAATCATAATCAGAAAGTAGAGAAATAGCTTCTACAACATTCTGCAGCGTCGAGTCCTTTTTCTTTTTTCCCTTTAGTATCATTGTAACTAATATAGCAAAATTGTATTGTCATCGTGTCATACTATCATTGCAATGATCGATGAGCTATGCTAGTGCATCTGGGAAAACTGCATGACTTGTTTAGTTTGGGCATTATTTCGAGTTTAGGAGCTTGGTTAATTTTTGGACAGAGTCAAAAGACACAGCTCCAGCTGTTTCTCTACTTAAACGTCAGTGTACAGAAGAAATTTTTCTTGATTAACATTACTACAAACAAATCACGATTACAATGGAAAGGATGGAAATATTTTAATTAAGCAGAAGTTTCAATGTGGTCTATGCTGAAACCAAATGGTAGTGTTAGTTCATTGATCTCCACAAGACAGTATTCTCAGATACAGAATAGATTTAGAAAACCTCACATGAATTTGTAGAAATAATAAAATCTTTCAATGAACTCTGCATCTACTGCATTTCAGCAGATGTTGACCTGATACTCCTATTCTTGCCCTAGCTTTATACTTTGTCCTTAAACAAATGCTTCTAAAATTGCTGAAGACAGGATACAGTGATAGATTGACCTTTAGTCTGTCAGCTATCTTGTATTAATCGTGCAAGACATTAAATGAAATGGGAAAGGTATCTTCTTTTAGTCAGATTAAGTATCTGTAATTAATTAATATTAGTTGATGTAATTTAAATAGATTAATTTTATTTCCTGCATATTGGGCATTGCAATAAAATTGAAGCCAGAAGAATAAATATTTTTACTATTAAATACTTCAGACTAAAATACGTTGCCTATTTCTAAATTGCAGTCTATATCCATAAAGTTGGATACTATTTGGCTTTTTATTTTATCTTTTCTCATTTATTCACTTTATTGTCTGTGCAAAATCCTTTTATATGGACCCAAGCAGAAGAGGAGAGCAGGGTTATTCTTTAAGGGTGTGCTCATCTTTACATTTTTTAAACCTTTTTTGATAGATTTATATCAAGGCTGAAGTAATTCACCCTGGGACAAAACTTGGCATCAAAACTTTTAAATACAAGCACATTTCTCTTTTGATTTTGTTTTTTTTTCAAAGAAAATTCAGGAATCAGTCGGCATGTTCTTAAAGGCAAAGGTTTAAGTCCTGATCCATTTGAAGTCAATGCAAGTTTTGCCATTGACTTCAGTGGAGCCAGGACTTCCTTCAAAAGATGGAAACCAATTACATTTAGTATTTTCAGATGGAAAATTTGTGCTTGTATAAATTTAGGTTGTTTCTTTTGGGGGGGTACTTACTGTATAATCCATAGAAGGTATCTCTGGATATCTTTCTGTTAAGTGACTGTCTTTTTTTCATTAAGATAAGTAACAGTTCAACATATGTGGTTACTTAGGAAATTCCTCAGGATCTTTAGTGGAGTCTTTTGGGATAAGAGATGAAATCAGCCGTTGTCATTCATGACAAAGATCCCACATAATTTTTCCAAAGAGTTCGACATGCCAATGAGGGTGGATAAGCACGAGTGATTGTATTTTGCCCATGCACTTTCCATCTGAGGTTTGGATCTGAGGTGGGACTTTTGCCTTTTCTGCCCTCAGCTGCTATCAGATATCATTTTGCATTTAGTAACTGACACCTTTAGCCAGGCCAGGAGAGAAGTAAACTGAGTTAACTTGCTTTGCTTCACAGAAAGATGAGGTTATCGTTGGCAAAATCCTTCTTGCTTTAATCAAAGGAGAAAACCTGACCCTCTGTAGAAGATGTTAAGGACTGCTTGTGTGAGGTACCTGGAGGATGAGACCTGAGATCCAGCCTCTCTCTCCCCCAGGTAAAGCTTTTCAAAAGAGATTTATTGTACTGCAAACCTGTTCTCACCTTCCACCTGGGGGTACAGCCCCAGTTGTGTGCAAGTATTAGTGACACTAAAGCTATCCCAGGTAGATGACATGATTTCTGTACAAGAGATGACTAGTTCAACCAGGTCTACCCCACATTTCCTGCCTCAGACCCTCTGACCCCAAGTGCTCCCTTCCCAGGGGGTTTAACTCCATGCATGGAGCCTTTGGGCCGAGCCCAGCTGCTGTAGAAAGGGCAGCTCCTTCCCTATCCCAGCAGGGAGGGACAGAGTCTGGCTCTGCCAGTTAGGACTGGTACTCCTGCAAGTATTTCGTGAGGTTAGAAATGGGGCCAGTGTATTGTCATAGTCTGGTCCGAGAGGTGAGCCAGCATTTAAGGCCTTTTTGGGTGTTTCCTTTGGATGTGAGATTGATGATAAATCCTCTGGTGCAACGCTCTTTATTTACAAAGAATAAACAGAGTCTGCTTTCCCGAACCTGAGGAGGGACCGGCAGCAGCACGCAACATCTTTTCCCACAATCCCTGGCAAGCGTTTCCAGAGAGTTTTCTGCTGAAAGGGAGCTCTGCTCTCTGCTTTTCTCCCTGGCTCTGCAGTCAGCGCTTGCTCAGCTTCACCCTGGCTGCTGTCTCTTCCAATACCTAGATTGTATGTCTCTGTCTCTCCATTGCCCATACACCTCCATAGTCTGCACTAAGAGAGACAGAGCTCACACACGTTGCAGGTGCATGGGGTGC